ATACTAAAGAAGTCATGTTGAAAAATTTTTAAATGAGAAAGATAAACTCCTAAAAGTATCTCAAGAACCATGATAATTTTTAAGCTTAGAGAAAAGGATTATATTAATTAGTTTCTTTATTTGGTTGGTTAGTCCTAAGAAAAAACCTAAACATAGTAAAAACAAGGCCAGTAGAAATAAGAAAGAGGAAATCTGGTCTCTACAATTATCTTTAAAAACATTAGATTTCGAATAGCAGAAAAGGGACCGAGGGTAGCGGGGCTCTGTTGAATTCGTTATGCAAGCTGTGAGTCAGCATCATATGGGCTGTTCCATGTACCCTCTCAAACTCAGCTTCTAGAAATCTTGCTTCTCTTCAAGGGCATCATTGAGCATTGTTTTATTTTTTTCTTCTTACTTCCTGTCCTCAAATGATGTTTTGCTGCACTTTCATGTTTTACTTATTAACTTTGGTCACAGAGTTCAAAGGAAGTTCTAGAAACCACTGGTTTTTGAAACTAACAGTAAGTAGGTCTCCCCTCCTCCAATGTGGTTGTTTCTATAATTGTAACTCCCTTGCCTTTATTTCTTGATACTACTAAACTGGTCCAATTGCTAGTAACAGGTTGCTTTTATGTCCTTATTTTTTTCCTTTCCCAATTATGAAGAGTCATTTTGTTTTTCTTTAATAGCTAAGATGGATCCACAAATTTCTATTAGAGGGTGTGCATAGGCAATATGTTTTGCCAGAAATTTAAGTGAACATTCTAAATTAAATTGATACTTACATCTTTGTAGGAGGTTATTTTTATATCTCTTCCACAAAGAAATATGACATATAGTATTGAGTTGCTAAGTGCCTTTGATCATAGAAAGCAAAATAGTCTTGTTTGCTTTAATGTGTAGTACAATTAAATCAAATGGAGGAAAGGTTTTCCAGCTAAATCCAATGAAAGTATTATAAATAAAGTAATTTAGATGATAGCAACATTTTTGTTATAATAAAGCATATTAACCTTCCATATTAATTCGGACTTTTTGTTTTAGTTCTCTTTAAAGCCCACTCTTTCTGAAAAACAGAGTAAGTTGAATTAGAGGATTTTTCAAGCCTGGTGCCAATTGAATACAAAGTTTCCCTGTGCAGTGAGTGGTTAAAAGTGGCCTAAAGCAACTACCTTTGAATAGAGTAAGTGTTGGGCAGTAAAGTTTATTAATAGTACTTACTGTGCACACTTATTTCAACACAGTAGAGCTCTGTTAAAAGGAGAGGTTATAAGCATATCATCCACACAGAGCAGAATATAAACTATTTAATTTTAGTGAATTCCAAAATTTGGCTTAGACTTTTTAAGGGAAGTTGTAATGTGCTGCTACCATCAATGAATAAGATTTTGCATAGAAAGTTAATTAGGTTAAATGGGAGTGTTTTAATTAATGTGCCTCTTCAAACAACGTTGACTTTTGATTATTTATAGTCATAAAAATGCTGTTTTAATTGTGTTTCTTATCTGAATTAACCTCTAGCACAAAGTGAAGTGGAAACATGAAGACAGTAAAGCATACCACAAATCATTCATTTTAAAATACCAAATTAGAAGTTTTCTCTGACAATTTTTGTGACTCAGTCATCTCTGAGTTTAAAGGAAACCTTCATTTTTAAAAGTTTTGTCTTTCTATGAGGATTGCCTATGTATTTTTTTACTCTATTAAGAGTAGAAACTGTGGTCTCTGAGCAATGGTGAGGAATATTTTCTATAATTGAATCTAAGTATGAATTGATCTGAACAGAAGTTTTTCCAGAACAAAGTAATAAGGAGAATAGTTTAGAATCTACAGACTAACATGAGTTTTTATAATAAATAATAATTATTATAATTATAATGATAAAATATATTACATTTTACTAAGCTCCCATAATATTTTATAGATGCTAATAAAGTTTAGTGTGATTTTATATATTGTCTTTGAAGTAGATGAGAAATCACTTCTAAAACTAAGGTAATGAGAACATAACCACGTTAGATGATTATATAAATGTAGAGGAAATCAGTCATGGGAAAACTGATAATACTAGAAACCTAAAGAGCTGACTTCTAACCTATTCTTTATTTTCCTTTAATATAAAACATCACTATTAATTTGCTTTCTCATCGAAAACAGTTATTTATAAAATATCTTCAACTAGGGTTAGGAAAGTTAAAACCTGCTGTGTGTTCCCCAAGGTGATTGACCAATTGTGGTTCTAATGCTGTTTGAATGCTCTGGAGAGTTTTCAATAATCAGTTACCCAGAACACACCTGGGAGTCCCTAAGGGTAGGGCTCACTCTCTGCATATTAAGAAAAATCACCTTCCTACTCCCCTGACTTTAGTGCTCAGTGCCTAATACTTGGCTAGTCTTGTAAATCATTAATTTTCACATTTTGTAACTGTGGATGTTGGCATGGGATTGAAGGAAATGGCCTCCCCATATGAGATTCACATTGCAATGCCAAGATGCCAGAGAAGTTATAAAAGAAATGATATTCACTAATCTCTTAGAAATAGAAATACATCTTGACCCTATTGAGTCATTAAATCACAATCAAATATGAAAGTGACTACAAGGCATGGTCCTTTCAATGTTATTTTTTGAATGTTTGAATTTCTAAAATGTATACTTTATTCTTAAAGGGGACTAAGGAGAAGTAAGAGGTCAGAGAGATGGTTGCAAGACTACATTGTTCAAAGGAACCCACAAGAGAACCTGCCCCATTTTAGACACACAGTAAATTCTTTTTGCATGAAGAAACAATTCTGGATTGAAAATATCTTGTGGTTAGAGAAAAAAACAGCGCTTCAGTTTTATCGTTACTAATATATTTGTTCTTTTTTTTTTTTTTAAAGAATTGTCACATTCTCAGAAGGTGACAGCCCTGGGTTCATCTTTTCTCAATTAATTTCTCTGTTAGCCACATCGCCGGTGTTGAATCTCAATGTTATCTATGTGTTAGTCTATCATAGCTAGTTTTCCCTTGTTCACTTTTGTAATCCCAGCATCTGCCTTATAATAATTGCCTACTAAATGAAGGTGACATTGTGGAAATTTTATTTCTGAATAGCCATGCCCCTATATCTGTTAAAGTTATGTAGCTTTGACTTTCTTTCTGCAAACATAGCTTTTTTTGGTTTCTGCTTGAATATAACAATGCTATTCTCTGACTTCATTTTATTCTTGATGGCATATTTTAGCTAATTCTTGACATCAGTGTTAAAGCATTTCCCTCAATCTTTATTCTCTGAAGAGGGATCTACAAGTTTCTGTGCAATATTTATACAGTTATCCTTCTGTTAGAGGACATTTCTTTAGTTTGGTTTCTTTGTTGCCCATGCTTGAATCTTTCTGTAGGATAAACTCCTAGAAATTCCTGGTGCTTGAATCATACTTAATTGGTTGATTTGGTGCTAGACTGTCCGGAAGAAAAGCTTTTATAGGTTAATGCCAGCCTCATACCTCACTCAATTGGGGTACCATTAACATCTTTATAATATATCAGATTGCTGTTTCTGCTTTTCTGTATTTTTATGTTAAAATATAATTGTAGTGTTAATTATCCAATATTCTATGTATTATAATGTATATAACTGTTTTCCTATTGTTGAACAATTCATGTATTTCTTTTGATTTACTAATATAGTCATGCAGCAATAGAAATACTTGTACATGTGACTTTTTCTACTACTTATGAATAACTTATTAAAATGAGCTCTCTATAGTAATATTCCTGGGTCAAAGGCCTTAACATTTTTTATTGCTTTTCATAAAAAGTTATTTTAGATACCTTAGTTATTTAGATTCAGCCATTCAACAATGTGTATATACATATAATACATATATGATACAGACAATATATATACATATATACCATGTATATTTACATATGTCAAAACATGTGATTGTATGTTATAAATATGCACAACTTGTGTTTGTTGATTTGAATGAATTAATGAACAGATTGCTTTAAAAATGTGTTATATCAAAACTGGTGCAGGTGACTCTTGTCTATAATCCTATCTACTCAGGAGACTGAGATCTGAGGATCACAGTTTAAAGCCAGCCCAGACATTAAAGTCTATAAGACTCTTATCTCCAGTAAACACTCAGAAAAAGCTAGACATGGTACTGTGACTCAAACAGTAGAGCTCTAGTCTTGAGCACAGAGAGGCTCAGGGACCGAGCCTAGGCTCTGTGTTCAAGCCCCAGGACCATTTTTTAAAGTGTTATATCATTTTTTATACCATCAGGAACATATTACCTTGCCAGTCCCTGGTGGCTCACATCTGTAATCTTAGCTACTCAAGTGGTTGAGATTGAGAGGATTGCAGTTCCAGGCCAGTATGGGCAAAAAAGTTCAAGAGATCCCATCTCAGCAGAAACAGTTGAGTGTGGTGTCACAAGCCCATCATCCTACTTATAGTAGCAGGTATAAATAAAGCCACTGGCCTGCCAGACCTGCAAAAAAAAAAGTTAGACTATTTCTTTTAAAATTGCCAGAGCAAAAACAGCAGCTCCAGGCATGGCTCAGGTGGTAAAGTGCCTGTCCAATAAGCTCAAAGCTCTGTGTTTATAACCTGAGTACTGCTAAATAAAAAAGTAATAATAATGAATAAATAAGCAAAACAAAAATAAATTACTGTAACAGACTTTAAGTACCTTTCTGAAATATTCTTGAGTTATTATTTTAAATTTAAGTAATTCATATTAACTTACTTTTATAAATTGTAACTAGTAAGTTACATACTACACGAAGACTACTGAGAGCTGTTTTTGGATTCTTTCATTAAAATCTTCTTTAGCCAATCAATAGGAGGCAGAATGAGATATAATTTAAATATGTTCATTCATATATGCCTCAGTAGTAGCTAATTTTAATGTTCTTCTTCATACCTGTTTACTTGTTTTCCTAATAACCCCAAATATGTACTACACTGAGCCTGACTCTCCTCCACATTTGAGTCAAAAGGTCTGTCTCTTTCTTTTAGGAAATTTATCAGTGGTGTGGCTCCGCATGCAATAAATATGAACGTCTGAAAGCCAGCCAGGTTGCCACTGGTATTAGGGACAATGAACGAAAAGGAAGATCTCAACTCATTGTGGTGGAAGAAGGAAGTGAGCCATCGGAGCTTATAGAGGTATGATGAATTCTGTTGTTTATTGAAGGGTTACCACTTTGAGACACAAGTCTGTATGGTGTGTGTGTGTGTGCAAGAGAGACAGAAACAGAGACAGAGAGACAGAGATTAAATCATGGTACTAAGAAAAACAAAAAGTCATGCCTGTTTTATCTCGCCATTTTCATGCTTATCAAAGGAAATCCTGACTGTTCTGTGCTGTATGAGGACAAATAGATGGGTAGTTTTGTTTGATGACAAACAAAAGCCTACTTCTGGTTGAATATAATAATATGTTTTGGAAGGAAGATAATAGTATATTAATTTAAGCTTCTGGACATTTGATTGTGCATGGTAAATATGCACAAGTTATATGTGTTGATTTGAATGGATGAATAAACAAATTGCTCTTCAAAACTGGTTTCTTCAATTTAAAAAGATTTTCTTCAAATTAAAAATTAAAATCATTTCATTAAAACAATGAAATAAAATATAGCAAGGTATTAAGTACATCCGTATTTTATATAACTTAGTAAAGGTAATAAATTTGTCTAACAGGAAAAATAATCATGCTTTTTCCTATAGTTTTGAAATTATTGTGAAAGTTAGATATTTATAGCTCTGTAGAACCACATACTTAACCATTCTATTAATCTTGTACAATTAATTTTGGTCAGTTTTTCCTTTTTAAGAAAACTATGGTCCCTAACTTAGAGTATATATTGTATATATTCCCTAAAGAAAGATTATCAGTAAAAAGATATAATCATACCTAGATGCCTTGTTATATGCTAGCAAATTTGCTTCTATTTATTCACTCAATAAATACATAATGACACATGCAGCATGTCAGGCACTAACTATGTGAATCAACTACTATATTCATCCTTGACCTTACAGAACACTTTCAGTATGTATTACTATAACAACTTTTTAAATTTCCTGCATTTACTAGTTATAGGTATAATTTCTTTGAATTTTCATTTATCTTATTTCTTGTGATATTATGCATTTAACCATTTTCACCACTTGGAATTTAGTTTTTCAAAAGATTATCTTGTAAATATATGGGTTTGAGGTGACAATACCAGGGATTGAACTCAGGGCCTCAAGCTTGCTAGGCAGGTGTTTTACTACCTGACCCACATCTCCATCTCCTAATCGTGTAAATATACATTCCTGTGTTTGTTTTTAAACATTTTAATCAATTAGTTTCATGATATAGTAGAAATTATATGATACTTTCAAAGATTATGAGATTGTCTTATTGATTGTCTTTGCCTTTATTTCTGTAATATTGTCATAGATTTTTTTTTTCCGGTCGTGGGGTCTGACCTCTGGGCCTGGGCACTGTCTCTCAGCTTTTCAGCTGAAGGCTATCCCTCTACCACTTTAGCCACAGCACCACTTTCAGCTTTTTCTGCTTATGTGGTGCTGAGGAATCAAACCCAGGACCTCATGCATGCAAGGCAAGTACTCTAACCACTGAGCCACTTTTCCAGCCCCCTCATAGATTTTTTGGGGCTTGACGTCAGGGCCTGGACATTGTCACTGAGGTTTTCTGTTCAAGGCTCACGCTCTATCACTTGAGCTTCAGCTTCACCTCTGGCTTTTTTGGTGATTAATTGGAGATAAGAATTTCATGGATTTTGCTGCATGGGCTGACTTGGAACGGCAATCCTGAGATTTCAGCTTCCTAAGATGCTAAGATTACAGGTATGAGCCACTGGTGCTCTGCTACATAGACGTTTACACTAAGGATGGTTTAGAAATTTCAATTCAAATGGTATAATGTTATGAGAAAAGGCAGGATATAGAATTTACACAATCATAAACTTGTATTAAAAGTAACATTATTACATTAATAATTAAATTAACTATTAAATTAATAATTTCACAATTAACATTGTTAATGTTAATAATACTTGTTAATATTAATAATAACACATATAATATTAATTATTCAACTAACATTATTACATAAAAATTTACATGATCTTAAATGTTAGTATGTATTTATATAACTATTCAGAGTGCAAATATATCTGGAAAGAAATAGCTTGAAATATTGCCAGTATTATTTTTGACTCCAGGGATATGGCTGGCTAGTTATTTTCTTTTCCATCTTTCCTTGTATTTTTGAAAATTTATTATAATAAACACATATCCTTCTTTTCTTTTCTTTCTTTTCTTTTTTTGATGGTATTAGGTTTAAACTTAGGGCATTGCACTGGCCAGGCAGGTGCTCTGCCACTTGAGCTACAGACCCAGTCACTTTGCTTTAGTTATTTTTCTGTTAGGGTCTCTTGGTTTTTGTTTCCTGCTTGAAACCACAACCCCCTTTAGTGGCTGGAATTGTGGGCATCTATTATTATGCCTAGCTCCATAGTATTTTCTTAACAATCAGAAAAAGTCATTAAAAAGTCATTAAAAGTAAAATTAAATTTAACAGTTTTACTGAATTTTTAACCATTGGAATTAACACTGAATAAATTTGTTTTTGGAAAAAACATATTCAAAAAATTATTTATCCAGTAATATTTTCTCAGGGCCTATTTAGAGATGTGACTAAACATTAAAGTTTTGTAACTTGCCTGTTTGGAAACAAAAAAAAAATGTCTACCAGATGTATTTCTCATGGTCTGCAATCCGAGGTTATGACAGCATGATTACCCCACCCCCACCCCTAGCCCCTTATCCATGGGGGATGTGTGCCAGGATTCTCTCAGAATGCCTAAAACTATAGATAGTACCAAAGTCTCTATATACACTGTGTTCCACATGTAAACTTTTGAACTCCATCTGTGATAAAGTTGCCTGTATTAATGACTTCCAGGAAGAGATTAACAGTAAACTCTAACAAAGGAGAACAACTTTAACAATTATGTGCTAATAAAAGTTACATGACTGTGCTCCCTCCCAAAATACGGGATTTTGGATTGAGGTACACACCTCCAGTAACGAAACTTTGGGAAGTGAAGCTGTGAATAATAGTCTGCCCTACTGTACTTAGAAAGACATAGAGTCAGGAAGAGAGAGAGGGTTCCTTTAACTCTTGGATCTCATCTTTGCTTTTCCACGGTTAACCAGGGTACACAGCAAATCTCTTAATTTCTCACTGGTTCTTCTTTTGTAAAATGAAATTTAGATAAAGTGGCCCTTCTGGGGTCCCTTAAGATTCTGATGATCTGAGATGCCATCTTATCTTTTAGACAGTAGCTGTTTTAGTCACCATTTCCCCTGGCTGGCTGTTGCGGGAGGTGAGGTTGATGAACCCTGGGTACTTAGCTGAGTGTGTCTACATGTGGCGTCCTTACATATGGGTTGCATTTAACAATCTGAATTGGAAATTAAACCATTAAAACATTAGTTAGTCCTGCTAAAATAACAAAGTGCAAACATGGAGGGAAAAGCAAAAACACATCTTTAAATTTGAATTATTAAACGATAGAATTTAAGGGGCTAACTACATAGGACAAAATGTCCTGTGTGGTGTTTTGAATTTTTAAATATCTAGAAACACCTACTTCGCTTCCGTGGAGTACGTTCAGTATCTACACTGCAATATCCTTGACAGCTGTCACTCACTCACATAATGAACTGAGATGAATTTTCAACCAGATGTTTCCTTTCAGTGAGCTTTTTTTTTTGTTGTTGGAAATTCTGCTTTGTAGTACCTTTGTAGGGTATGTGGTGTAGTGAATTAATAATGCATCTATGACAAGCTAGTTTGACTTCTAAACTTCCTCTATGCTTTTAATTGTAAGGATAGAAATTCTGAAAGTCACAAACTTGATTGGGAAAATTACAACTTTATTTTCACTAACCTCTTAACTAAAATGTGTTATTTCCTGTAATTGTGAAAGCAATTGACAAAGTCATGAGCAGTACTTTTGACTTTTCAGGTCACAATGTACTTATTGTGGATAGCCTCAAAAATGTCATTTAAGTTCACCACTACTAGAAATTATGACAGCTATTAGATTGGTAGTTCAATAACATTATTTTATGAGTTAATTGAGAAGCTCATATTTGTCATATTTCTTAAAATAGATTTAGCTAATTGCATTTTAATAGAATTGGTTTTTATTGTAATACTTCTTTTTTTTTGTTTGTTGGTTGTGAGGCTTGAACTCTGGGCCTGGGTGCTGTTTCTGAGCTTCTTTTGCTCAAGGTGAGCATTCTACCACTTGAGCCACAATGCCACTTCTAGTTTCTCTGAGTAGTTTATTGGAGGTAAGAGTCTCATCAATTTTTTCTGCCTAGGTTAGCTTTGAAATGTAATCCTCAGATCTCAGCCTCCTGAGTAGCTAGGATTACAGGTGTGAGCCAACTGCACTGGCTTGTATTTTATTTTATGTATTAAAAATGTACCTCTTGGGAGAAGTCCATGAGCTTCAGAAGTGGTCTCTCCAAAACAGGCAATCCACCTACATCCTTGTATAAGATTTAAAAACATGGAGGGGGGATACTGTGCAAAAAGAAATGTACTCATTATCTGATTCATGTAACTGCAACCCCTCTGTACATCACCTTTATAATAAAATTTAGATTAAAAAATATTTAAACATCTAGCTGGGCAGCTTGATGCTGGTGGCTCACACCTGTAATCCTAGCTGAGATCTGAGGATTGTGGTATGAAGCCAGCCCAATCAGGAAAATCTATGTGACTCTTGTCAATTAATCAGCAAAAAGCTGGAAGAGGAGCTGTGGAGTGCTAGCCTTGAGCAAAAATGCTCTCTCCCCCTGACACATACACATACACACACAAGCACGCATATACAAAGATTATAAAATGTCATTTCTGTTAAGATTATTCCCATTTACATTTGAACTTTTAAGAATTTCATTAATAATGAGGATCTTTTGAAATTATTTACCTTTAAAAACTTGAGAAGTCTTCATGACAAACAAAATCTTTGAAACCAAGGTTTTTTTTTCATAAGTTAAATAGCCCAGCTGTTACTACTAAGTATTTGATGTTGAATGTTTGAAACATGTCTTTATAACCTTCTTAAGAT